CCACCTCCTCGACGCGCTGCAGCCCGGGTCGAAATCTTAGCCAAAAGACCAATTAATGCATGCTCCACTAGCCTAACCTAACCTCCTCGCGACCGGGGGGCTCATTTACTGGCCATTTTCCTTGTTTCTGGCCAGGAATCGACCCGGGCTCCAGCGCGTCGAGGAGGTAGACTTGACCCGACCTGAACGCGTGCAATCCGGAAGACGAAGACTCGTAAAGGAGGACCGAGTTCTGAACTCTCCGCTGACAAGTGGAGCCGACAGCCTAGTGGCGAACGCGCTGAGGCTTGGTGCACAAGACACTCACGGCCCAGGGATCGATTCCTGGTCGGGGCGAACATTTAGTTTTTGTTTTTGGTAGGGAGAGGGGGGGGGCTACTGAGTAGGCGGTCAAGTCCACCTCCCCATGTCGGCTGGTCTTTTGTCCTAACCCTTGGGTCTCCGCGCCGCAAACTACTAAATTGGAAAAAAATGAGCCTCGGTCTGTATTCGAACCGACAACCATCCGCGTCCCAGGCGCGCGATGTACTATCTGAGCCAATGTTGATGCTTTGGCATGGGTGAAGCTTATCTCCGCCGTGGCTTACACCCTGAAACATATGGCCGGCAGAGAGGCAAAAGGGTTCCGTCGACTAGATTCGAACCAGCGACTGTTTGCGTACCGGCTCATTAAAGCAGGTGTCGCACGGCTGTAAAGTCATGGCCGGCCAGCGGAGCGCGAAAAATACCATCCGGCCGGGATTCGAACCAGCGACCAGATTCATAATTCATACCCGGCCGGGACGCTACCGACTTGGCCACGACGGAACGATTCACACATAGCACAACTTTCGGTGGCATCCAGATCTCAGATGTGACTGGCGCCCGAAGACACTTGGCCAGCAGAGCAGGAAAGATGATCGCGGACGGGGTTCGAACTACCGACCATCCTTACGATCTTCCAGCGATCACGTTTTAATACGCTCGGCTACCAGCTTGCTCTTTCGAGGCGGAGGTCTGAGCTCGGTCCTGCCTAACGGGTGACAAAAAGCGACAAAGAAAAAAATTTGCCCCGATCAGGAGTTGATCTTAGGGCCGACTGTTTTGGTTCGGAAGCTGCATGCGGTCAGGACGACTGTAGGCCACGGCTTCTCTCTAGGCGTCTGTCGTGACGGGAACTTGGGGGTCGATGATTGTCGCTGAAAACGCCTGGAGGGTAGGCAATGCTTTCCTGAATTGGGCCCCCGCGCCGCGCCGCGGCCCCCTGCCCACCGAGCGCTTGGAGTAGGCGAGAGCTTCGGAGAGGAATTGATATCTTTCGTTTTCGCTGTAGTTCTCAGCTCTGTTTACTTCTGGTTGATATTCTAGCTTCTGCGGAAGTAATGAATTCGTCTATAGACGGTTCAGTTGAAGCTGACTCCGGCACTGTCGGCTGTACTGTAGCTACAATCGTGTAGCTACAAACAGGGACGTGCTCGATAGGGACTTGATGTGGCCCCCCTGGCCCCATAGTTGGTGTTGGTATACACGCTCGGGTGCGAGAGGGAATGCCAAACGGCTTCGTCTCGCAACTCCGGGAAGAGGGGGGGGGGGTAAGCGCGTTCGACGGACGACGGCGTTTCGATGTCAACTGTCGGGACGCCGTCGACTTTAGGTCACCTGTCAACGTGAAAGCCGATGTCGTTGGGGTTGGGATACTTGTACTTGACGGGCATGGTGACCAACAGACAATACGTCACCGTAACTTACTACACTTTTGACTTGTTACGTGCTGTTGGGTCATAGTTACAAGTACACCGTTTATGCCTCCTTTTGAAGTTAATAGTATCTCTTTCCTTCATATTCTATCTGATGAAATGCGCTTCTAGCGCGCACAAAGTGGCATGCTGGCATTGGGGTATTACTGCTGAGTTGTTGGCAACTATAATAACAGTCAGTTGTCTCCGCCCATCCTCGTAACCGGAAAGGGAAAGGTTTAAACCAGGATACATACATGACAGCCATGGCAGTTAAACAGGTAAAAGCTGTGAGATTATAAAAGGGAATAATAACGCTATGACGGATATCTGCTTAAAATTTTACTAACCAGCAGTGAAACAGTGAAACTCGCCTGCTTGCCCTCCTCGTGTACATGACTTGGGCCCTGTAACTATTTAAATCTAACGCGATGATTTTCTTGTCTTTTGCATTTTAGTGTACCCCATCCCTCATATTTGCTAACCCCACGACGGAAGCAACATCTGTGCTATTCATTAAAAAGCTTACGGGCGTTATCATGAGCACCATAGCGTACAATCGCAATCTGTTCGAAGAAAGTGATTTTTCTGAAAGATCATTTGAGGGAATAACCGTTAAAATCGTCGAGGGACAGGCAAGTCCAGGTGCTCTTGCTTTGTCCAAATGGCTGAAAGGCGCTTTCGATGCTTTCGATCAAAAATATGTAAGTTACCTATCAATATTTGCAGTTCAACATTATACTTGGGTTTTTCATTCTACCCTGATGAATTCCTTAATCTCATGTTTGAGGGTTGCTTACAGCTAGAATCAATAACCTTAGAAATTAATGACGGCATGGAGCAGCCAATTGAATCATATACTCTTGGGTATTCATATTTCAATAATGAAGTTCAGTGCCACTTTTCTGGATCAGGTGACAATGGCGAAATGTAAGTTGTTGTCAATACATTCATTACAAGGGAATGCCTACCTAGAACTAAAGAGTCTTTCTGCTTTAAAGATTACAGGATAATGACTTCTTGAAGAAGAAAGACATTAGAAGTGTCATCAGAAATGTATTGACTCTTACTCAAACCAACAGTCCTCTTCCACAGGATGCGTGTACCTCAGTAAAAATTTCTTACAGGCAAAGTAAGTTGATTTTCCATTTTCAGTCTTCATTTGTATGTTTCAAATAAGAAAAAATGGTTGAGGGTTTTTATTGTTTGTTCTAACAGATACCCCTGTAGATTATGAACCTCCTGGATTTCAGCCATACACTCAATGTAGTTCAGTGAAAGTTGGGAAGATGAGTAAATATAACTGTGGTACAGTAACAACTCATTTCCACTCATTTAACTTGAAAGGAAAGTTGTACGAAAGGTCACGGGAAATGATATCATGTTTGTGTGGAAAAGACAATTACAATGCCACCCTCCTCAAATGTAAGGTGTGTGGCTGTCTTCAACATTCAGTAAGTTTTCCTTTTATGTTTTGTTTAACTCATATCAACAAATGTCATATGTGTAAATTTATTCTCATTGATCGAAAATTTTAACTTTTGTTTTGTCAGGCTTGTTTTAAAATCTTCCCAACAGAAAAAGATATGTCTCAGAGAGATCACACCTGCTTGAAATGTTCAAGCAGTGAAGTGACCCATGAGTATTCACCTGTAAGTAATTCCACAATTTTAAGTAGTGTTATGTACAATTCAGAATAACTGGAATCATCTTGCATCACTCAGTTTTTGTTTTTTTTTGTTTTTTTTTAGGAAGAGTGTATCTTTCGTTGCGCAATTGTTCTTTGTTCAATTTCTAAGTCTTTATCTGTGAGTAAAGTGAAGGAAAATCTTATGCTGGATGAAAATACAGCCCTAGTTAATGTCAGACGTCTGTTGCGTGAAGAAGCATTATGCAAGGGAACACAACCCCCTACACTTGAAAAGCTTGAGTGAGTCAGCCTATCGGTACAAGCTAAGCATTCTGATGAGTGCTCATTGATTACTATTTCATAACTAAATCTTTTGCTGTTTCCAGTTTTCCATACAATGTCAACAAAATAAAGGTAATGAAGAAGTTGAAAAGGGAGTATTTTGATTGCAGCTGAAGTATTTTGGAAGTATTTCCAATTATTGAGATTATTTTGCCAAATCTAAAATCTGTGTGAAGCATTTGTTTTTTGTTTGATTGATTGGTTTTATTTAAATTAACAATTTCTATTGCTCCTGTTCTTTAATTTTCTTAGACCATACCAAGATCATTTCTTCCAGATATTTATATGGCTA